CTCTTCTGGACACCCTCTGGATACAAATTCATGGATCTTTCTTTGGCAGTTCCTCAAGCAACTTGAATCATCCACATAAATCCATTACCAACACTTTAGTGTTTGCGTGAACTAACTGTATCCCAAAAAATCTCACAAAGGATTCTGTTTTGTATTCAAGGTGGTAGTGATGGTCTTTGATCGAATTCTTGGTTTTTTTTTTTTTAGCTTCTCTCAATTTTCCAGGATCGCAAGCTTTGGAGCATGGGGTGGCTCCAGCGATCCGAGTTCTCCGACCTCAAGGAGCGGAATTCGGGGCCCAAATGCCGGGCGTGCAAGGGGCAGGGGAAGATCCAGTGCCCCAGTTGTGATGGATCGTCCAGGAGCAGCAGCAAGGACATAGATGTGTGATTGATAGTGTGTTGATAGTGTGCCCAAAATCTAGCCTGGCGCCAGCGCCGCATTCGTATCTGTGGTGCTTTTAGCGGACATCAGACAAATCTTCTTGCGGCTGGTTCTTACGATTGAACCATAGCTGTACAATGAGAGGTATCTCCACCTAATAGAGAGCTCTTGGCTTGGTCAATTAAAACTCGGATCTCTGCTTTAGTAAGAGACTTGGCCAGCCAAAAAAGCATGTTGTCCAAAGACGTTTTGTCTTAGCGTCCTAAAGACATCCATTTCTACTTGGACCCATCGGCTCGTTGTAAATCCCTACATATCGCTTGAAGGAGAAGTCACTGTTCCGTCAAGCTGCGTGTCTTGCAGTGAATGTATATCTGCATCCTGGGTAACCAAAGCCCAAGAATGTCAACTTTCCGTTTCAAGTTGGAACTTTTGGTGACCATCCGACGGTTGCAGAGGTACTCTTGCTTTTCCCTTAACTTCGCTAATTTTCGGAATTCAAGATCATTGTTTTGGGAACTGATGGCCTTTTTCACAATCTCTTCAACGACGACATAATCGAAGTTCTTAAAACATCTCTTTGGGTCCGACCAAGTCAACTTGAAGGTGAACTCTCGCTGTTGTCGCCAGGCAGCTGCAGCAGACCGTGTAGCTGGGGCGCAGGCCGAGCGTTTGGACAGCCCGTTTGCCAGGGCGGCTGCAAAGGCGAGAATGAATTGGAGCGGTGGAAAGCTAGATGATACCACGGCACTTGTGGCGTTTGTGACGTGATATTTGAGTCGCAAAGGGTAAGCTTTTCAAGCAGTTTTTGCGGAGGCCAGTGTAAATTGGCCGTTGATTTTTGCGGGAGCAGGGCAAGAAGCCATAATTTGGCTCACACCACTCCTCCTTGGCAGCTTTCCTGAGCCTCAACACGGACGGAAATCCCGCCTTGTCGACCGATGATCCGCTACTGACGAGCTGAGCGCACCGCTGCCAAGGAAAAGCATGCGAGCAGCACAAAGATCGGCAAGATGTAGCCTCTCGCCCTCATGATCGAAGGGTAACCCCCTGGTCGATGGAAAAGGTATCCCTGTGGCGCGGAGCTCTAGATCTGCGCCGACTCACCTCGGGTTCTAGAAATCTAGCATGCACCCGGCGCCATTGATCGATCGAATCTGATAAGTAGTGGAATATTCTGGTTCCCGTGAATCTAGGGATAGCGCGTTCAGCGAGTGTGTCGGTGAGCTCGAGCTCTCTCTCTCTCTCTCTCTCTCTCTCTCTCTCTTAATCGTGTCACTCACACAGATTTTTCTAGTTACGTGGTGTTCGTCATCTCGAGACACTGAAAAGAGTACTACAAGGACGACGAAAGCCAATATAATATATACTACACCCCTTTTCGTCCAACTATGTACCTCACATACACAAATACTTTGTAAGCTTTTCATCGACAGCGAAGGGGCCTCCTCACATACATTGGCCTCAAAATATGTAAAGGGAAGTAAGAGACCTGGTGTAAGCAAAAAGATGGATGCCCCCCTCCCTCCCCCTAAGTAGTGTTGTTGTTACATCGTCAATGTAGCGACTGTTTGAGGACATGCCGCAGAGGGATTCGGTATCGCAGACCGCCATGGTTGCAGCTTATGCCCAATGCGGGTATCTTGATCTTGCGACGCGATTGTTACAGGATATGCCTCGGCACAATCTTCTGTGTTGGAATGCAATCCTCGCGGCGACCGCTGCCGAGGGCCGGATAAGCAGAGCAAACTAGATCTTTGAGGAAATGCCCGAGCAAGACATCGTTTCTTGGAGCACCATGCTTTCGGCATATGCCCAGAACGGTCTCTTGGACGAAGCCAAGCAAACTTTTGGACTGATGCCTCAGCACAACTCCACGTCTTCGACAGCCATGCTTGCGTCGTATGCGCAGCACAAGCAGCTGCGAGAGTCCAAGGTTTTGTTCGACAACATGCTGGAACGCGACGTGGTTTCGTGGACTGCGATGCTCGCAGCGTATGCTCACAATGGTCACGTCAGGCATTCCGAAAGGCTGTTTGAGTCGCTTCCCGAACGGGACACCATCTGCTGGAGCGCTATGCTTGCCGCTCTTGTTCAAAACGGGCTCTACTTGGAAGCTTTTGTTGTTTTTGACGAGATGAAGATGGCGGGATCAATTGACAAGGTGTGTTTTGTATCGATCCTCATTGCTTGCAGCCAGGGAGGGAAGGTTTCCACTGCAAAATCGCTCTTCCTGTCGATGAGTCTTGATTTTGGGTTTCAACCGAGCAAGCAGCACTATTGCTGCATGATCGATGTCTTTGGGCGAGCCGGGCATTTGGAAAATGCGCAAGATCTTGTAGCTAACATGCCATATGTACCAGATTCGATTCAGTGGAGGTGCTTGTTTGGAGCAAGCCGAAGTAACAATGATGCTCAACATGGAGCTTCGGTTGCTAGGGAAATAATCGGACTAGAAAAAGAACATTCTGCTTCATATGAGCTTTTTGCCAACTTGATAAGGTTGTAAATTTTTTATTTATCCGTCATTTAGGCCCTTTAGTTTGAATAAACTGTAAATCTATACCTTTAGTTTTAACATAACTAACCTCTATTCTTACCTTTAATCTGGGATACTTACAAAATGTATGGCGAGATTACCTATAAAATGTAGTGAATATAACAATGTTCTGTGTTTTCTGAAACAGGTTATTTAGAAAATATTATGGCTGGTGTGAGAGCAATGGTGGATTTGGGTATAGATCATGTACCAAATGAATATTTGACATCCATATGCAAAGGCATAACCATCAAAGCTCCAAACAACCTCCCAATTATTGACTTAAGTGGCATAGATAGTGATGATTTGAAAAGAAAATCAGCAGCTGAAGCAATTCATCTAGCATGCCAGAAATGGGGCTTTTTCCAGGTAAATAATCTCTTCTGAAATACTTTGCAAATTGTTCTAGTCAGGTCATGGGCCATGGGATATCTAACGAGCTTATGCAAGACATCATCAAAATGGTCCATTACTTTTTTAACTTGCCTGCCAAGGAAAGGATGGTTTACTACTCAACAGATATCTACAAGAGCTTTAGATTCTCCACAGGATCCGTAGCAAGTGCAAAGAAAAAGTTTTGGAGCGACTATTTGTTCCAGCACTGTCAGCCAGCAGTTCACGAGGATGATGTACCAGAAAGTATTCCAAATTACAGGTACAAACTTTCCTTTTACAGATCTTTTTATTTTACTTTTTTCTGTTTTAACACTATATATTCATTATAACAAAGGAAAATTACAAGCAATTACGCCAAGGCTGTGGACGAACTTGCCAGAAAACTATTGCGAATTATTGCTCAAAACCTTGGTCTAGATTGGCAGATCCTGGAGAAACACTTGGATCCTCCCAAGCAAACCATGAAGATGACATATTATCCACAGTGTCCATGCCCTGATCAAGCAATTGGTATAGGTTGTCATGCTGATCCAGGAACCATAACGGTATTACAACAAGAACTTGGAGTTGAGGGCCTTGAGGTTAACTACAATGGCCAATGGATTCCTGTGAAGCCAGTTGAAGGCGCATTAGTCATTAATGTAGCAGACATGCTCCAGGTGAAATAATTTGATGACATTTTTTATGAGCTCTTAGTTTCCCTCTTACAGATACTAAGCAACAATAAATATAAGAGTGCGGAGCATCGAGTTCTAGTGAACACTAAGAGGCCACGAGTTTCAATTGCTTCATTTTATGGTCCTACAGATGATAAACATATTGCCCCACTGGAGGAGTTGCTAGGTGACAATCCTCCCGTGTTCAAAGCATGCTTGTTCAGAGAGTACATGGACAACTTCTACAAGAACCACCTTGGGACGCGAAACATTGAGACGCTCAGAATCCTAAACAACTGATTATAGGAAACATATTGTCGTGATAATACATTAATCCGATCCTATTATGATTAATACTACTAAGGCTGACATGACTGTGGCATACCATCCGAAAGCTATCTTACAACAGAGTTCGTGCAGTTATATACCATATTCCTTCACGGGACTCTTGTTTGCATGTTGCTGTCCAAGAAGGCTGCAATCAAAGCCAAAGCAAAGGCTGCACAACATTTCCCGTCTACACAAGGAGTTTCTTCTTCTCTTGGTAGCAGTCGATTATAGCAAGGGAGAGAAGTTTCAGAGCTGTGCAATGGCTGCATTGTTGAGATCCTTCGTTGTTCTCCTGGTATACAGATTAGCTCATTACTCCACTCCATTGATGTTTCTTCGATCCATTCCCAGTGATGAATTTTGTTGTTTTCTCGTAGCTTGTCGTCGTCGCGGTGGAAGCGCGCTCCTGGTCTCCGCTCTACGGCACCAACGCGGGAGTGGGATTCAACGACACGAGTTCTTCCTCGGCGATCAAAACTCTCACCGCAATCCGCGTACACTACGGCTGGGTGATCGACGGCATCCAGGGACAATACGCCACCGGCAGCTCTTCAACCTGGATGGCTAACCACGGCACAACCACGCAATTCACAGAGGTCAGTCTCCCAAACGAACCAAAATGAGCAGTTTTCTCTTCTCCTAATCATTCCCTTCCATGACGCAGATCCAAGTCGCCTATCCGTCCGAGAGGTTCGTGCGCGCCACCGGCAAGTACGGGCCATACAGCAGCGAGCAGAACCAGGGGGTCACGGTGACGGAGCTGTCGTTCGTCACGTACAACAACATCACCGGCAAGAGCATCACGTACGGCCCGTATGGCGGGCATGAGATGAGCGGCCAGACGAGCTTTCAGACGGCGGACGCGAGCGAGATCGTGGGCTTGTATGGATTCACCTCGGACTACATGCGCGGGATTGGTTTCGCCCTCGTGCCTGCCAAGAACTAGAAACTTGGCATCATGCCATGAATCTATCTATCTACCTACTGTTGTTGATTTACAGTTGAATTTGAGAATGTAACCTCTGTTTCATCAGCCTTGCGCCGATGACGCTCGTAAATGCAATAAATCCTCCTAAGAGAGAACTACTATGATAAAAAAAAAGTCAATGGAAGTCAAATAAGCGTTTCGCCGGTACACTCAATTCGCTCGGCAGAGTTCCCCCGATAACCCACACACTTTGCTACCCATTCGTTCAATCGAGAGAAGATTATTTCCCCTCCCCCAAGACTGGGGATTGATGGACTTACCATGGGAAAGTCTTTATTGACCTTGACATTGAGTTGAGTGTAATATTCTTATGCATATTTACTGCTGTTTATTCTTTCAGATATCAGTGCATAAACCATGTCAATATGGTTTCTGGCCTATATAATTTCCTGGTGGATCATAGTTGCAACTAACAAGGTAAGCATTCATACCATTGCACTGGACATAAGCGCATCCAACTCGAACAGAGTTCTTCCACACAACCTGCGTGTAGTGTCCACAGACCTTCCCCGCCGCGCAAGTGTTTGACGCATAGTTGTAGTCGACTCGCTCGTTCACCCAGGCAGCCACAGCGTCAGTGGCGGGAGGAGCAGGCAAGCCGGGACTTCCCCACCACTTCCACAAATTCTCGCCATATCTCCCACCCGAGTGGATCAGCGCGCAGTTGTTTTGATCCCGGAGAGTTGCCGCCCAGCTTGATGCAAACGCGGCCACTGTATCGTTCCAAACCAGCCCCGAGACATTCACAGCCGATCGAGCTGCGTTGTGTGCGTCGACAAGGTCACTCTGCTGGCTTGCTCGAAGAACAACCAAAGCATCACAAAAGAAGATCGCCAGAGTTGCAACGAGGAGAGGAGAGAAGGGAGATTTCATGTTGCTGGGGTGATGTTCACAATCAAGAGCAAACTCTTACGTTTATATGCAAAGTCGTTGTTCTGATCGAGTTTTTCCACTTGTGGCGCCGACTTAGCGCCTGCGATTGTATACGATTTTTTGCTGCGACGGTGACCCATGAATCGAGTACGTTTTAGTTTGGTGCTCCATGACTTTAGCCGCCTCTTTTTCTTCCACTGCTCGAGGAGCT